ACGTCTCTCTCTGTCCGCAGTTCAATTACACAGCATTACATTACATTGTTGCCGTCACGTCTTGACCATCTTATATATAAAAGAATACCGAAATCTAGTAAACGCTAGAGGTTTCATGAACGTTCTAGAAGTGCATGACGTGTTACCAGCGTCACGTGACCTCCGCTGTCGTAACAGTATATATAAATGTTCTTTACACTGTTGATTATAACAGTTGTAATATACTACTGTTGTACAGAGTTATTTAAATTAGTAACAACAAAGGCAAAGAAATTATTAAAAAGGTTTGTTAAGAGTGCTAATATAAATCTCAAATGGATATTAAGAGATGAATTAGAAAGGGTACTTGTCAGATATAAAAGACTGTTTAGTATATGTATTATTATTAATTGATTTATTTTGTGTTTGTAATTCATTGATGTCGAGGCTATTAAACGTTGTGTAAAATCCATTGATATCGAGGTTATAGATGTTTCTAGAAGGCCTAAGTGATAGATGTGTAAATAACGGCGACCAGACGAGCGGTGACAGAGAGAAAAAGTAAAGTCACGCAATAGAGAAGATAGGTTAGAGAAAAGTTAAACATAAAGTTAACCATCGTGGGAGTGAAAGGACTAATGGTTGATATATTAGAGTGAGATTAACAATTTTGAAAGAGATGAATAGAAATGTGTTGTCTCGTCAAAGGGTACTCTAAAGAAGAGCAGACGATTATTGAAAGTACAAAGAGGAGACGATTATTGAAAGTACGAAAAGCAGACGATTATTGGAAGTACAGGATAAAACCGCGGTAACACAACGACAACGTAAGTGAACTATACACGAATGCTATTGCGAAAAAAATAGATAGGCTTGTTAACTGAATACTAAAACAATTGAATAGGTCTAAGTGGATTTTTGACAATAAAAAGATAATTGTATAGTGTTTAAGACACAACTATGATCTCCATAGTGTGAAGAATTTTGTACATAGATTTAACTTGTTTCGAATATATATATATATATAGATTATTTTAAAACCAAGTAGAGTGCTGTTCTTAGTTTATTTATCGCTAAACAAGTCACAGACACCTACTCTAGAATAATCCTTATCTCAACACATCCATATATTTGCATTAATATACATATACTGTTACGTCTCTGGTCGTTTGTTAATTTCTTGTAAAAGTTCTTTCCGAGAAACTTCGGCGATACGAGTTCTTTCTTAATTAAAGCTAGTTTATTTTTCTTGTTACAAACTTTGTA